ATGAATGAATGAATGAATGAATGAATGAATGAATGAATGAATGAATGCAATTTCATTCATGTTAAATTCATGCAGTAGCAAACAACAGTTGGGGCATTTAATTCAGATTGATACTATTACAATGGAATAGAAGGTTGAAGTACACATATCCTGGGAAAAACAAAAACGATTTTTCCAGTTGAATGGCCCCAAGCGGTTATTTGTCCTATGCCTATAGCAACACCATGTTCAGTGCAAAATGAATCATAGAACTACTTTAAGCATAGGAAATTAGTGATAGATTTACTATGCACAATACCCAAAATAAAGAAATTTAAAAACCCATCATCAGAAGGCCCACTTAGTTGGCTTGAAATTTAAAAGGATTAACTAAATTCATGGAGAAGAGGCCTCTCAACAGCTAACAATTCAGGGTTCTTACATTTAACATTAGCTATTAGACCCATGCAGACATTTTAATGAGATTATGCAGCTGTTTTCAGAAGTGCTGCCAACCCTCCCCATCTCATGCTGCACTCTTGTGTTCATATTGCCAGTATATAATGTGCCAGAATTTTTCCATCTGTTCATGTGATATATGTGCTTTCCGGAAGCAGCCAGGATAATAGCAAAGGCTACATGGTTGTTGCCACTAGAAGCAACTGCCAGTTTACAGAAAGGGAAACCAAAGAGCTGCATCAGGAAGCTGCTATAGACAATGCCCAGCAGGTAATTAGGCATCTTTGACACAAGGTCATATTTTCCTTTGTACAAGAGAAAGAGAATGTCTATGACAACCCCAAAAGTATACTGAATATTCTGTAAGACTTATTCACGTTCAAAGTCAGACAAACTGTCCAGTGACAGAAACACACAAACAGGTCCATCCTGACAAGTAGTTGTAGAAATTCTATTTAACCAATTCATTTCTCTATAACACACACACACACACACACACACACACATATATACCACTACCACCCCCATCCCCACAAAAGAGATAACAGTCAAGTCAAGCCAAGCTCTCCTCCTAAATTCCCTAAATTTCTAGACTGAACTGAATCAATGATTGAATAAAGTTTTGTATCTGGAAGTCCTGGTACCGTGAGAATGGAGAACACAATTTTACTGTAAATTAAACTCCCACTCTTT